GCTGCCCTTCCCAGAAAAGCAGATCAGGTAAGAAAGGGCTGATCCCTTAAATAGAGGGAAACTGCTTATCTCTGGCTGATTTTTCTATTTCGGACCCCATCGATCAGCATTGAGGCCAAGGAAAACTTAAAGGGCTGAATAACTGCTTTGCTTTTCAGATCAGGAGATCTGTGACTGTTAAAGTGTCACTGTGACTCAGACTATCTGTGATTCTTTCAAACTCGTCTGATATCCAGTTGGAAGATGTGCTTTTTTCACCCTCTGTCTGTATCATCTGGAACCTGAAGCTTGAATCCAGTTCCCTGGTCTGTAAGGGAATAGAGACTTGAGGCAACCTCTATTGCAAGAGGCAATGGTCCCAGGACAACAAAGAATTCCTCAAGGAGCCTGCTGTTTAATAAGGGGAAGGAGGCGAGCCCCGTGGAGACTTGTCCTGTAATAGGTGCTGCCGCAGGAAAGCAGGTGAAGTGCTCTTGGGGACAGAGCAGAAGACACCCATTCCCCGTGGTGAAGGGGCAGGTGTAGACCCCACCGAGGAGGTGGTATTTGGTGCGGACCCTGGGGGAAGAAGAGAGACTCGAAGGCGGGAATAGGACGAGGAGGAGGAGAGCATCCGACCCAAGCTCGCAGGTGGGAAACCAACCGGAGGTGTTCAGAGACCAGCAGGTGTCGGGTGTCTGCAGAGCAATGACATATCCTCCGTTTGTTCTTACCAATACATTGGTCATTTTGCTCAAAGCCAAATGTGATTTGATGTTGGCCCCTTTCTAAACTTATTGTGGAAATAAATTAAGATCTTAGAACAATTCCATTGCCAGAATATCACCCGATTTGTGGTCTGGAAAACAGGGGTATCCGGCCCATGAGGGGGTTAATGGGCGGGTTAGGGTCTTGGACATAGGAGGAAAAAGGTTTTCTGAGGGGAGGAGTGCTAAGATCTGAGCTCAGAAAGATGAATCTTGATGGGTATGTAGGAAATATGGGGAAAGAGAGAGAGAGCCTCTTTGAAAATTACTCTTAAGCGAGTGGCTAACAGTGAGAATGGCTGTGGCTGAGTGGACTGCTCGCATGGGGCTTCACAAGTAACTCAGGGTGTTTTACTCTTCCTGAAAATCAGAGTCCAGGGGAGCCTGATTGAGAAAAGAGATGTATTATAGGATTTTTTAAAATGGCATCTTTTAACTAAGGTTTCCTTGGTCCAGTATTAAAATTAGACTTTCTTTCCTGAGCACACACAAATGGACCTAGCAAAGGGAAGACATAGATTTGCTGCGTGATGGGGGAAGCTAGTCAGGATTAAAATGCTGCTGTGAGTAACTGTGCTCCTTCTTATTCCGAAAATAACTGTTATTATTATTATTTTGATGATTGTGTCAAAATCTTCTGCAGTAATTTACTTGCCCAGATTTCACTATTCATCTAAAAGAAGGACTTCATTATTCTGCTAAAGGCAATTGTGAACATATCCTAAGAATCATTTATACCAAAAAGGGATGTTTTACTCTAAGACAGTCATTTTTAAAAATGCACATGTTTTTGAATATTTTTATACTGTGGTTATGTTTAGCTCTTTTTGTGCATCTTATTTTACCTGATGCTTCCTTTCACCTAAACATGCTGTTGAACTTTCCTAATTTGTAAATTATCGATTAGCTGATTATGGGTTTTAAAAATAATAAATAAAAGCAGACTCTTCCAAGGAATTCAATCAGAGCTAGGCAAAACTGAAATACCTGGCATTTCTTTCTGGATCTCTGTGTCCCTAAATCCCTTTATAACCATCTCCTGGTTTTCTCATCTTTACCCACCATTCCCCATCCCTCTCCAGGACTCCCCTGCTAGGCCAGCAGCTTGTAGCACCCCATGTCTGCTCCTCCCCAGTCTTCTCTAGCGGCCCCTGACTCCCAGCAAGATCTTCCTTTAATCCCCCTTCTATCAACCGCATTTCCCTCTCCAAGTAGGAAGTTTTCACAGACAAGCCCCTACTGCATTCATGTATCACTTTCCTTGGTAAACTATTAGAGTTTAATACCCTTTAATGATTTGACCAAATGAAGTGATTTTTATAGGAACTTGGGCACCACAGAGGGAAGAGACTTACAATGTATAAAGGGCCATAGAGTTTTCAATACACATAATCAGGCTGTAAAGAGTTAGCCATATCCTTGCATCAGCCTTTTAATCAGAACAGGGTGCTAAAAGTGCACATTAAAACTGACTTTTAAATCGTTCTAATCTGAATCAGATGACTAGGTTATTTGTTGAGGCTTCTTCAGATGGTTGCCCACCACTGAAGCCCCCAAATGAATGGGGCACCAGCGCTAAAGCCTGAGTAGTGGGAAAGCCCAGGAAGTGTGAGATGTTGAACTAGGAGAAAAGGATTTCGCATTTGCCTTGTACGAAGGACAAGGCTGGGGAAGGCTGCTCCTGGTGTCAACATGGCTCTAATCAGTGGAGACCAGGGGTGGGGAGGCAGGGACTGGACCAGGCACTGCTAGACTGGTCAGCCAGCCCATGGACAGGGTGTAATTATCACAGGCTCAAAGGTCCTATACCCAGTTCTTTACCGTCTTCATCGAATTCCACAGATCGAGAAATCTGTATGTTGTACATTTACACAGTTAATGATCTTTACCTTTTCCTACATTTCCTTTTTGGTTTCTGTAGTGTTTTCATAAGGAACTTTCTGAAAATGCAAACCTGTACTGAGAATAGACAAAGAAAAGGAATCTGCCCCCCTGTGGGCTGGAGGGAAAATGGACATAGACTGGGGCCTAGGAAGTCAGCGCAAGGGCAGGGATGGAGGTGTGGGGATCCTGAGAAGGACAGGAAAGACAAGAGGGGACGGAACGTGGCAGGGGCGCCTTAGGCATCTCTTTTTCTGTCCTTGGAGAATTTTATATTTGGTATGATTAAGCCCATTCTGGGCCTTTTGGGTGGGTACCAGTGGCTCCAGTCGGAAGCAGTAAGGGGATCTGCATTGGAAGCTCTGGCCACATTTCCTGGCCCTCTCCCCAGCTTCCGTTACCTATCAAGAATTAACACCCAGGCCAACCAAAACCCAACCCAACCCATGGACATCCTCTACAGTCCTAAGGAGCTTTTTTTTTTTAAATTTATCTTTATTGTTGAAAGTATTACAGATGTCCTCCCCCCCCAATTGACCCCCTTCACCCCACTCCTGCCTCCTCCCCAGGCCTTCCCTGGCACTATTATCTGTCCACTGGCTATGCATGTATTCAGAAAGTTCATTGTTAATCTCTTCCCCTCCCCCTTCCCTCTAAAATACTTCAGTCTGTTTCATGCTTCAGTGTCTCTGGATCTTTATTTTTTTTAAATCAGTCAAATTTCATCCCAGTCTTACTTCAAAATAAAAATGAATCATAAATGAATCCATTGCAACTATTTTGGCCTTTAAAAAAAATTCAGTCATGGAACTGCAAAATAGCTTTTCCCCCCAAACTGGTAACTCTTTCCTCCCAGATACTGCTTGTCATTCCCTTTATAAACTGTTTTTTAAAACTGTGATTTTATTAACTTTTAAGTACCCACATACATGTGAACTGTTATGATTACCACTGCTGTACTTCAATGCAATGACTATAAGTTAGCTGAAGAAATATTGCATTAATGCTTTAGGTCATCATTTCTATTTTTATTTGGTTGCTTACTTTTATTGAGCATAACTTTTTTGTCCATGTTAATTTTCATTCCTGACTACTCTGCTATGTAATTTTTCCAATAGACAGATTCATAAATAAATGTCATATTTTTCTATATAGTAATGTGTAATATGTAAGCTCTTCTTTACAAAATTTGACTTAAATAGATTTAGTTCAATATCTTAAGCTTTTAATGGTCTTTGTGTACACTTTAATTTGCCTTTAAAGACAAACAGTAATTTCCATATTCCTTAATTTTTTCCACCAGTAAAAGTTCCTTCTCTTTCTCTCCACCAAATGGTCTTAAACAGTAGGAAGCCACTGAAAGGCTTTTTAAAAAATGCAGTCAATCAATTCCTTTTTCCTAGCTCAGTTCTCTGGGTGCTTCCCAGGGTCAGGTATTGAACCTGGTCTTTGTTTTCTGCAGAAAAAAGACAAAGCAGCAGGAGCTTGATGGTTTGGAAGTCTGAGACGCCTCCTCTCTCGGCCCAGGCTGCTCTCTTAGTCAAGTCTTAAGTGAAGCAACAATTTGTTTTCCTTTTTTGTGTACTTTTCAAAGGCTTTTCACAAACATTCATCCTCATTATAGCAACAGGAGATACACAGGCATTTCTACTTCCATGTTTACAGTTCAGTGGCCTCTCTAAGGTCCCACACTCATTTAGCAGTGAAGTGGAGGCCAGAGGCTAGAGCCCAGAACCCGGTGCTCCCTGAGAGAGTTTCCACATCGAGTCCCTTTTCCAGCCTCAGTTTCCTTGCGCTGAAGCTGTAGAGATCTCTGCTTTGGTGGGCTTGTCCTCGGGTGGCTGGTGCATGCTGTGTTTAGCCACAGTCCTGGCACATGGTTGGTGTTCATTCAATGGTGTCATTATAGGAGGGATGTAAGAGTAACATTATTAGACAGCATCTAGATGACACTCAGCATGGAGGCTGGGTCTGTACGTCAAGCTGGCATGCACACCTCGAGGTCAATATTACCTTGCACATTTCTCATTTTCTATGCTCTGGTTACCGACCCTGCCCATCCCTCCTGGCCCCTGGTAGCTGCTCTGAGGGCAATCTGGTAATTTCATACAAGAGTAAAATATTCTTCCTCATAATTCTACAGAATTAGGCATCTTTAGTGAAAAGGTTTAGAGATTCCTTCTTCTCTCTGAAAAACATGACTGTGAGCCTAGAAATAAAGTTGCTCTTTGTTAGTGGTTTCTTTTCTCTCTCTCTCTTCCTTTCTTCCTGCAGAGAACTCAGCCTCTCCAAGGTGCAAACACCATGATCTCAGCAGACTGACGATGGAAGGAAAGGCAACTGGGCCACCCTGTGCTCCGGCTTCCCCAGACAATGGATGGAGAACAGCCCGTCCCTTCACCCCCCATGCCCTTCGAGAACACGTTGTTGGATTCTAGCATGTCTCTTGAGCAAAAGACCACATTTGCTTTTGTGATTTTGCTGTTTATTTTCTTGGGCATCCTCATTGTCAGGTGTTTCCGGATCCTTCTGGACCCATATCGGAGCATGCCAACCTCGACCTGGGCTGACGGACTTGAAGGCCTGGAGAAAGGGCAGTTTGACCATGCCCTTGCTTAGCAGGGAGGGAGCAGGACCCCCTACTGAGGAGGGGAAGTGCTTCATGTCTGGGCAGGGAATTCTCTTTCATCAGTGTTCTCAACAAATCCAGTTTTAGCAACACCTGTTACTAAGGCCACAATCCATTACTCAGTAAACATGCTGTTGGGTTAAAACATTTGAGCATATAGGAGATGGAGATTTATATCACTAACCCAAAGTAGAAAGGTTTAAATTTCTGCGTTTACTCAATGAATGAATATTGTCGAATGTGTGTGATGGTGAAACCAAGAGCATCAACGTTAACATCAACTTTGCCATAAAATGAAGCGCCATCTCGCCTGCCCAGAGAATAAAGATTAGAAAGGATCTGACCTGAATCTGGTGACAGGGCCAAGAAGAGACTTCCTTGTTTTAATTGTGTCCCTCAGATTGTTTTATTTTCACGGGAATCTGGGTCCAAGGCAGAGAGTGAGGAAGACTGTAGTGAGTGGACCCAAAGCAGGTACTTGTTTTTGTCTAAAGCAAGGAGCATGGGGAGGCCATGGGAGGGCTTAGAGGAGATGGTTCCATCCAGGGAAAATATGAGTGAGGATGATATTTTATTTTTTAAATAAAACCGAATTCAAAGGTTNTGTCCCTCAGATTGTTTTATTTTCACGGGAATCTGGGTCCAAGGCAGAGAGTGAGGAAGACTGTAGTGAGTGGACCCAAAGCAGGTACTTGTTTTTGTCTAAAGCAAGGAGCATGGGGAGGCCATGGGAGGGCTTAGAGGAGATGGTTCCATCCAGGGAAAATATGAGTGAGGATGATATTTTATTTTTTAAATAAAACCGAATTGAAAGGCTTATGGAGGTTGTAAAACTTATTTGCCAGTCCAGGTACATTCTATGTATTCATATTAATAACATGTGTAGAGGTAGCTATACATAACCTGAATTTCCTTTCTTAACACAAACCACTCAAGTAATAGGTTATGAGTGAAGCTCAAGTTCTGTGTGGGGTGTTGTTTTTTTTTTAAATAAAAAGTTAAGTGTTTAGAGGAGGAGACTGACAGTCTCAAGAGAACTGTGTGTTTATGACTGAATATATAAATAAAATAAAACTTTTCAAGGCACAGATATGTCTCCTCTTTTATTTCTCTGAGACTAAGGCACAGAAGTGTCTCCTCTTATTTCTCTGAGACTACGTGCACTGGAGGCCGTGCTACATCCAAGCCGAGTGTTTGAGTGTCTGAGAGAGAGGAAAAGAGCAAAGACCATGAAAGGTCATCTGCTTCATCTGTCTGCCATTTCAGGAAGGGCTCCTACAAATTGCCTTGTACCCATAAAACCTATTCTTAGCACTATTTAATTCCACCAAAAAGAGATGTGAAAACCACTTGTTCCGACTTCTATTGGTAGGAAAACCTTGTATCTAAACTAAACCCCGCAGGCTGTGTTTATAGTCTATGTCTTCTAATTTTCTCCTCAGCTAGCAATCATTTTTTTATTTTTTAAAAAAAAAGGTTCAAAAGCTAATTATGCCTAAAAAGGCAGCCCTTAGTAAAACTACTTCCCTGTTGCCTTTTTTTCTTTTTTTTTAACATTCGTTGGGGGTCCTGCTGCCTAGATTCCCACCTTCCCATGCTCCCCTTGATTTTTTCTTTACTTAAATAAAATAGCTTTATTAAAATATAATTTATATTCCATTAAATTTATCTTTTTAAAGTATACAGTTCAGACCCTGGCCAGTGTGGCTCAGTTGGTTGGAGTGTCGTCCCATGTACTGGAAGGTCACGGGTTCGATTCCCAGTCAGGGCACATACCTAAGTTGTGGGTTTGATCAGATGCAACCGATCGATGTTTCTCTCTCACATCAGTGTTTCTTCTCCTCTTTCTCTCTCTCTCTCTCTCCCCCTTCCTCCCTCTCTAAAAATCTGTTTAAAAAAATTTAAAGTATACAATTCAGAACTTCTAGTATATTCACAGAATTGTGCAACCATCCCACTATCTAATTCCAGAATTCTATACCCACTAGCAGTCACTTCCTATCCCCCTTCCTCTCAGCCCCTGGCAGTCTCTAATCCACTGTCTCCATGGATTTGCCAATTCTGGATATTTCATAGAAATGAAATTGTAGAATATGTGGCCTTTTATGTCTGGCTTCTTTCACTAGCATGTTTTCAAGGTAGGTTCATTTCTGTTGTAGCAGGCTCAGTATTTCATTCCTTTGTATGGCCAAATAACATCCCATTGTTTGGCTATACCACATTTTGTTTATTCATGGGCTGTTGTGGTTACTCATTGCCTTGTGTGAAGAATGCGCCTATGAACATTTGTTACAAGATTTTGTAAGGATATGTGTTTTCAGTTCTCTTGGGTATACTCCTGGGAGTGGATTTGCTGGATGATATGCTAACTCCATGTTTAACTTTTTGAAGAACCATGAGACTATTTCCCAAAGTGGCTGCAGCATTTTACATTACNGTGGATTTGCTGGATGATATGCTAACTCCATGTTTAACTTTTTGAAGAACTGTGAGACTATTTCCCAAAGTGGCTGCAGCATTTTACATAAGGAATGTATGAAAGTTTTGATGCTTTTCTTACCTCTCCCCAGCTACTCAAATTTCTTCTTTAGCTGTAGAATTTATAACTGAACACATCACTTCAAGAATTAGTCAGATGAAAAAGAGTGAACCACCTCATGGTTTCTACATGCTAAAAGTTCCGTGATACCTTCAAAGACCCTTTGCTTCTAGATCTAAAGCAAAACACTGATGCTGATGTGTGGCCATCCTGTGGTTTATTAAGTCACCTGAGTATTTTGGGGGGGTCTTAATAATACATATTTCCTTAACCTACTAATTATAAAGTTTTCTTTCTTTATTTTTTTTCTATTTTATTGGGAATCTAATCAAACCCATTCAAGTATTTACTGAGCACCTGCTTTGAACCCGGCATTTCTCAAACTGAAGGGCTAGAAAAAATACAGGGTTAGTTCTTGCTCTCAAGTACCTTTCTACCTTGTTGGAGAGCTAAGAAATGAAAGGTGTGTGCCTGAATCATTGTTCAAATAATTATGATGGATCTATGGCTGTCATATCGTCAGAATCATTTTTATTATATAAGTTGTATATGGTCATGGTAAAAAAATATATAAACAATATGGAAAAATATAAAGTAAATAGTCAAAATTCTGCCTATTGAATGTTGATTCTAGCAGGGTTAGGTCAGTGAACAAGTGCTTTAGAGGGCAGAGCATGGGAGAGATGTATGCAGGCCAAGAGAGGCAAGGAGGTGTCTCAGGAGACTATGGCTCAGATGTGACAGTACTTTAAGTGCTTGGTATGAAGCCTTCTGCAATGCAAGTTATTATTATGAAAGAAATTACATCTTGACCCAGGAGATGGAGATGTTTTAGAGACATGCAAAGGAAGACAGGAGGTAAAACCGAAGAATGAGGAAAGGGAGGTGTAGGAGTGGGGCTGACAGCTAGGAGAGCAGCTGGCGGGAGAACATGGGTGGAGGGGTGGCTGGGGCTCAGGTAGGAAGGACCAAGGTGTGGCTGATCATCAGAGGGCCCTAAGAGGCAAAAGCAAGTGTGGGAGTCACTGTAGATTCATGAGAAAGAATGTGACATGAAGAGCAGTTGTCCGTTTCAGTTTCCACCCTTCCTCAGGGCAACACTCGAATCCGCTTCTATAATGGGAACGGACTGAAATAGCCACCTGCCCTCTCTGAGGCCTTTGAGCGCAGGACTGCCAAGGCTGCCACCGGGCCTCCCAAAGCCTGCTCTCCTTTCTTGCCTCCCTTATTCCCCGCTCTGTTTTTGTTTTTCCTTCTCAGATTACTGCTCCTGTCAACCTGTCCTCAGTGGGTCACTCTCTCTCCACCCCTCCCTTGCCCAGGGCAAGAGTACCAAAACAAGTGATAAAAAGCTCTGGGTAAATTGATCCCTCCTGGGAGAAGTGCTAACTCTCTGTTTTAATTACTCAGGGCTCCTTGGGGTGAACCGAATATTCTGGAAAGGTCACATAAGCCTTCTCCATCCTGGCTTTCTGGCCACAGGAGTTACAGTGCAGCATTTTGCCTACCTTACAAGATATTTATAACGAGTGCAGCTGCCCTCTATCGTTTATAACTGCATCCCAGAATGAAAAAAGTACTTTCCCAAGGTCATTCTAGAAAAGAACCGTCTTTTGATTCAGAAAAATCTGGCAAACTCATTCTCAGTCTGAGTTCTGACTGGTTTATGTCCCCAAGAGACCCCAAGTTCTAGGTCAACATTGTTCCCTCCAAAAGACCTTTTTTAAATATCTTAAATATTGAGTAAAGTAAGTCTAAGAGGGGGTGTGAAAGAGATTAACTTGACTCCTGCTGTTAAACTAATGAACATTCCAAGCCAGATCATTCTTTTACTGTTTTTAAGGGTTAAAGCTGAAACAAAATAAGCAACAGTTTTAGGAGGCAGAAGTTAGAGCAGATGCTTATATATACAGGGGGGAAAAACATATCCAAGTTCCTTTTTTATTGGACTCATTACATAGTCTTTTACTGTAACACTGAAGCTTTAATATTATAAGTATATTGATAAGTTTGATGTAATGAGAAATTTTGCTTGTCCGTCATAAATCATTTTTTAAAAACTTGTAGTTTCAAGAAGATGTTGACTTTCAGAATTGATTTGTCAAACATATTGAACTGCAATTATTTTCAAAAAATATTTTAAGCCCCAAAGTATTGAATAAATTGTGAGCTGTGATTTGTGACATCTGAGATGTGTGTCTTCTGGGACAAACTGCAAAAGGGGTATCTCACTTATTAATCAATCACAAAGGTGTAGAGTATGGCCACGATCTGCAGAAAAAGTGCCCAAATCACTCTATGTGCTCATGCAGTCTGGGATCAAACTGGCCCATGTCAGAAGAGGTTATCTGTTTTGAGATGCAAAAGAAGGACTCTCTAAACTTTGTACCTCCAGTTTCTTAAAAGAATAAAGGAATTATTTTCAGACAGATGTCTACGTCTTCAGAAGCA